GGGTGGGGGGCGGGGGGGTCATCCTTCATTGTCCTGTTACACAAGACTGACCGTGGCAGGGGGTCAGCCAATCCGTTCCCTCCTCAAGACTGAGACGTCTCACTTGGTATGAAAGAAAGAAAGAAACTGAACTTGAAATCCTTCATGCATTCTAGGCAATGTTTCGACATGCAAACTGCAACAAAAACAAAAAGTGAAAGTTAAACATTGCACCCACTAACAAAGAACGATGATATTCCCCTTTTTTTTGGGGGGGGGGGTCTGATTTGATAGTGCACTGATGGCCGCTAATTTCGGAACGAGAAATAGAAAGGCACCAAAGCCCCACCCCATGACGTAAATGTTCTCTGTAGATGACAAAGGGAACTCGATCAGTAGGTTTTGTTTTTGTTTTTAAGTATCCGGTGGCAGGGAGGTATTCATGTTTACGAAAGTCGTCACCTGGGGACGAATTTGGACTGCTTGGTTAGGGCTGAACGTGTGGTGACAGAATGACTCGAGAAAGAATGCGTGCTATGTAACGGGTTTACCTGACAATAGGTGACGTTACCATCAGAGTGAATTCTCATTGGTTCATAATTAAGCCTGCGCGTTTGTCGAGCTGGCGTTCCGTTTTCATTTCCTGTTTAGTCGTGTTATTTTCGTCACTTTGGTTCCTGAGCGGAATTAACCAAGCTGCTAACTACTCATCATGATCAGAAACTTGATTTTCCTCTCATTTCTGGCTAGGGGAATACCCAGCGTGACGCCTGGTAAATTTACTTCGACTTTGTTCAAACATGTTTGTACTGTAACAGGTCTATGAATTCAAAAGATGCTAAGTTAAAGTTTGTCTTCAAGTTGGTCATTCATTAGTTAAAACTGATTGATGTCCGAGTCACTGAAGCACGTCTAGACTATATTGGAGAGTATTTTTGACAAATAAATTTGATATGGAAATAATTTTCAATGTTTTTTGCTATTAATTTGTTGGAATTGACTCTCGAAGAGAAATTACACGAATCAAGCTAAATGGTATGTGCATACAGGACTTTATACAACAATCATTACTGGCTCTATGTTGCTATTTGTTTTGTGAAGAAAGGTGTACTTACGAAAAGAACTGCAATTGCACAGTTTAAGATGGCGGTGGTAACGTACCTTCGTCAGTTGTAAAACGAAACAATTTAAGTCCCTGCTGTCAAATGCACCAAAAAAAAAAAACGAAACAAAAACAAAAAAACACTTAAAAAAATGACCTTGAATAGTAAAATGTGTGCATGTTTATTTGGTTAGAAGGTGACTTTTTAAAAATGTAAACTTTTTGGGAAAAATTGGACAACTAAAACAAAGTTTTTGTGTCCCCCCCCCCCCAGTGATTCACACCCTGAAGTATTTCAAGATTGTCACCTCTGAAGTTCCAAACTTTGCAGAGTTTAGGATTGTTGGATACGTTGACGATGTCCAGATTCTTTCCTGCTACAGCAAGAAAGCAGAAGCCGCACAGGACTGGGTGAACAAAATCACTGTTGATGAACCACACTTTTGGGAGACACAGACCCAAGATTGTGTTACTCGGGAGCTGATCTACAAAGCGAACATTGAAATTCTTAAGTCCCGCTTCAACCAAACTGGAGGTGATTTATTTTGTAAACACTGTCGATTGTAATTGTTTTCATGCCATTACTGCATTGATACCTCATCCATTCATCATCACCTGTCCATCGTAGGTAGACCCTTGCCTAAATGTGTGGCGTTTGCTTGACAACACGCTCTGTCGCTCAGGTATACATTTCATGCAGAAGCTGTATGGCTGCGAATGGAACGACGAGACCGATGAGGTTGACGGCTGGGAATATGACGCTTATGACGGAGAAGTGGTAATAGCACTGTCGGACGTGAAGACGATGACATGGACGGCAGCCAAACAAGAAGCCTTCATCACCAAATTGAAGTGGGAACGCTTGCGCCGCGAATACTGGCAGTATTACTTCACGGAGATTTGCCCTTCTTGGTTGAAGAAGTTTGTAAAATATGGGGGTGATGCCCTGAAGAGAACAGGTAGATGATTGGCACACATGATTGGCAATAACTTGAGCCTCTGTCACCATGTTAACACTCTTATAGAAGCCTTCCTTGCCGGCCAACCGACACTCTCTTCCTTAAAGCTCTGCTTTCTGCCCCCCCATCTTGCTTCCTGTCTCTCCTATGTGAACACATTCTTTCAATCGTACCCTCGTTCACACTCTGGATGTTCTGATCACGTTTTTGCACCTGAGTCAGAGTCAATTGATTTTGGATATCTGTCAATACCGAGTCCTGATCTGATACCATGGCGATGCATTAAGAAGAAAAAAGGAACAGTGCATCCAAATTTTCCTTTTTTTTTAATGGTTTTTTTTTTTTAAATAAAAATATCAGAATATGATCCCTTTTTATTGTGTTCTCTCTGTTCACATGTTGGCCTCACTTGTGCAGAGCTTCCAACGTTGTCCTTCCTTCAAAAGAAACCGTCCTCTCCAGTCACTTGCCACGCGACGGGTTTCTTCCCCGAAAGGGCTGCGTTGTTCTGGAGAAAAGATGGCGAGGAGTTCCATGAGGGCGTCACTTTCGGTGAAACCCTCCCCAACCATGATGGAACCTTCCAGATGACGGCTGACTTGAACGTGGAGTTCACCGATGACAGCGAGGGAAAGTTCGAATGCGTTTTTCAGCTGGCTGGTGTCAAGGAGGACCTTGTCATCAAGCTGGAGAGACGAAACATCCAGAGCAATGGAAGTGATGAAGGTGTGAAATCCAGATCCTAGTTGAATTGAATTTGAAGGACTCCACGGGTCACTGCTGAAAACATCCACCATAATTGAGGGTGACAATAAAAATCATTTGCATTTTATAGTCTGGATGCATAGTAGGTATGCCGTTTTCCGTGCCATCCCACACTGTTGTTGACTCTTTTCTTGTTTTGTGTGGTAGAAAACAACTTGGCCATACCCGTCGTCGTCACGCCGGCGGTCCTTGTGCTCGTGATCGTCATCGCAGCCATTGTCATCAAGCGTCACAGAAAAAGATACGGTGAGGGACACAAATGCTTTTGCTGTCAGAATATATGAAAATACAATGACTTGTAATAAACCCCTGACTGGTAGGCTCGTGGTGTACAATTTTGGTACTGACAATAGGCTTAGCCTTGTATGGGTTTTCTTGAGATTTTAAGTTTAATAAGCAGCTGGAAACAAAAGATGTCTGCGAAAGCTATGTACTCCTTTGTCAAAACAAACAGATTCAAGTCATGAAACTAGCGATGACGCAGGCTCTGAATCGGGTTCCCTTTTCCCTGAGTGGTCATTACGCATTTGTTTTGAAAAGAGCCCCGCTCTATCCATTAGTCAAAAACACTGAAATCAGAAGATAGTGCAAGGAGTGTCATGGCCATCTCGGATCGAAGTCACCAGCCCAGGTAGCACTTTATGGTCTCCCCTTGCCCACGTGGGTTTTCTCCGGGTACTGCGGTTTCCTCCCACATTCCAAAAACATGCATGGCAGGTCCATGGAGCACTCTAAACCAGGGGTGCCCAACCTTTTTTGACCAAAGATCAACTTTTGAAGCGACCAACCTATCTGCAATCGACCCGATCGTGAGCGTGCAAGCATACACGCACGCGGGTGCGCAACCATGCGCATGTGCGCATGTGCACGCACAACTTTTGAAGCGACCAACCTATCTGCAATCGACCCGATCGTGAGCGTGCAAGCAAACACGCACGCGGGTGCGCAACCATGCGCATGTGCACGCAGGCACACCACAATGAGCAACACCCGAAAATGAACAAAACCGAAACCTGCACACACACAAATCTCTCCCTGGCCCCATTTTCCCCTTCCACCCCTCACGATCGACTTGGGACCAATCTGCGGCCTACCGGTCGATCATGGGCACGCCTGCTCTAAACTGTCCCTCAGTGTGAGTGTGGGGGCAGATGGTTGTCGGTCGATGTGTGCGCTGCAATTGGCCGACAACCAGTGCGGGGTGTACCCCGTCTACTGCCCAAAGGCAGCTGGGATAGGTTCCGGCACGCCCGCGACCCTCGTGAGAAGAAGCAGTTCAGACAATGGGTGGATGGATGTTTATTGTTGTCATATGGTGCCCAATTGAGCACATTTCTTCATGAATGTGAGGTGTTCCATAAACAGCGATATTAAAGTCACCCTTCTGTCTTTGTGTTTTCACAGGCTGTAACAGTCGTTTTGTGCGAGCAGAGACTGAGAATGTTGAATGAGACGCAACCGATCACGAACTGCTGAGTTCGCTCCAAATGTTCTGATGGCTTCGTGTGAAGATGATCTTGAACTTGTCATCCATGTTATTTACAAACGCTCGTATTTTAACGCGAATTGTCGTCTTCTTCCTCCAGGTGTTTGATCATTTTTAGTCGTCAAAGTAACGTCAAGCTACTTGGAGATCTCCTTACCTCTTCCGAAACATCTCTCCTTCACTTCCTTTTGTCCATGTTCAGTGCTGCACAAAACTTGTCACCAAACAGCACAGTGATTATGTTGTCACCCTTTAAATAGGCCGAGTGACTGATTATAAGTTTTCATTCTTTTATTTATTAATTGTGTCGGGTTGAAGTTATTTCTCCGACTAATGTGACTTTTTATTTCATTAACTGAGGTATGGCACGCTCAGCCCTTCACGGCGCATCGGCCTTGGGGCTGGAACGGCTTAATTCTTTTTCCTGGAGTAGCTCACTCGGTCCCTCGGGCATTGCGACTGGAACCTCAAATCTCCCTAACCTTATTCTTGACAATCTGTTCTTGGTATCTCAACCAACAGTATCGAAAAGCCTTTTGAAGTCTCCCAAACACATGTGTTTGTCACAGAATGATGTTTGCCGATGAAACTGTCAGTCAGTGAGCCTTCGACATCAACACATGATGCCATGTTGAAGCTTTGATCCTTTGCATCACAAACACGTCTCCCTCAAGTGTGAGAAAAATAATGCTCGAAGAAAAACAACACAATCCAGAACTCAAACAGACATGAATGTATGATATCGATTGGTTTCCAAGATACTGACTGATATCCACCTTCTACAGCAGGTGAGGTCTTTTGATCATGATGTCTGTGGCATGCTTTCGTTTACTTCATGATGCATTCTTACATCTATTACAGTTATGCTAAAATTCCTGTCTACTTGATGTTCCCTGTTTTGGTTTCTATGGTACCCATCTTGTTTTTTTTTGTTTTGTTTTTTTTCCCCATATCATACCATATGCCCTCTTCAATAAGTCGTTGTCTCAACTGGGAGTATTTGAATCATTCTCCCTTCTGCCAAGAATGCTCGTATGTCTTTGAGTGCAATTATAAACGTGTTGAATTTTGGTCATGAGGATTAGGTTTTGCCACAGGAGTGCAGACTATGGCTAAAGATGCATTGGCAGAGGTGGGCTGCTATTTCGATGAACTCAACAAGCTCCGAGCGCTCGAGCCGGACGTCAGCCAAAAGACGGCGGAGCTGAAAGAAGACTGCAAAGATTTTTTGGACAAAATTGTGCAGTTTCTGAAGATAATCGGAGGACTGATGGACCTGGTGGATGCGTTGGCAAATGAGACGGAGAGAGAAAAGTTGAAGGCCCTCGGGACGAGAAACCTGCTCAAGTTCGTGGCAAAGCAAAGGGAGGCCCAACAGCAGCAACTTTCCGCCCTGATTGCCGAGAAGATGATGCAACTGAAGCGCTATCGTATCGAATACGAGACCCTGTCGAAAGTTGAAGCCGAACAAAATGAGTTTATTAACCAGTACATTTTGCAGAAGTGATGATGAGATCAGATTAAAAATTGGGACTGTCATTCTGCTGGATAATTTTTACTTTTACTTAAGTGATGGCTTTTGTTGATTCAAATGGTATGCGTGTTTAAATTTGGTGTTTGAACCGTTGTGTGTTTATAGACCTTTAAAACTAAAAACGCTGCTGCAAAAGCATGCTTCAGGTGTATTTAAGGAAAAAAAAACACAATAAGTGCTACTAATAATTCAAATGCAACTGTGGCTATCAAAGAATATTTTGATTCTGAACATGCAGATAAGGTAATGCTGTCCCACAAGTGAATTATAATTTATATTTAGCTAACTTTTCACCTCCATTGAACAGGAGCCAAATACAATATATCTCAACTACCTACCTACCTACCTTCTGTGATTTTTTTTCCCTTCTCCTTCTTTGTACTCTTGCGCTTGCATTCTCTACAAGGAATACTCTCCAAGGAATACGCCATCTTTTCATGTGGGCAAGTGGTGGAAAAAAAACCCCAGAAGGCCAATTGCGCACAACTTCAAATGCAAATCCTTCAGGGGGTTGTTATGGCCTGCATCTGCAGATTCTTCAAGCATGCTATGCATAGTGCTGAGGTGTTAGCGGGTGCTCTTCTTATAGTTCCCATATCAATTATTAAACCACTGCTTGTGTGTGCTTCTGTAGGTACTTTTGAGGAGGGAAAAAAATCATCTTGTAAATCTAAATCTATAACCTATAACAGGACATACAACAAGTATCCAAACTACGGCCCGGGGGCCATTTGCGGCCCACCATCAATTTTTCAGTGGCCCACGACATTACAAGAAAATATATAATACTGAAAATGACTTGACATGGCCCGCAGGGTCAGTTAACAAAGGTGAAGGTGGGCAGAGTGAGAAAGGAGTGTGTCATGATGTCTTAAACTGAGCAAATATTGATATGAATTCATCATCGACATAGCACCAAATTACTCGTCAAATTGCGACTGCTGCTTACCAACATCAGGCTCATTCATACCGGCTGCTCCAGATGTCCCTCTCTTTTAATTACCTCCCAATGGAACGATCATGGACAGTGCAAAATTCCTCTTGAAGCAACATGTAGTGGCATTACTTCAAAAGACGATATTTTGTCTCCACACTGGCATTCAAGAACGATAATTTCATTTTGGTGAGTGAGCCGGGACACCACTTTTACTCTGCTGCGCTTGTACACTGTACACTTAGGACGGAGCTGGCTTTGTTCATAAATACATCTTGTAAACACGGAATCTGTTCAAGAAGCGTGTGTTCACAAGACGCTGAAAGGCGGTAATGTACACGCCAAGTCTGAAGTGGCGCTGTAGAGCAGTCACAGAAACTCCGGAAAACAGAAGAAGAACTAGCGAATTCGAGTCGCTGCAACAATGGCGGCGATTTCAACACGATCACGGAAGGAAAGGTGTCTTAGGATGGATGACGACGTGGAGCTTCGACTTCGGGTCAAGGTAAAGCGTTGAGCGTTTCCTTCAAGTTGATCTATTGATTGTTTAGAAACAATAAATTCGGAGCTTTGGTGCTTCACTAAAAAGTAACATTCGAAAAGAAGACTGAAAAAACATCAAACTAAATTAGACATGTACATCTTAACTATGACGGGAGTGCTTGTCAACAGAAACAACAACCAAAGAACACAGCGATGTACTGATAAGCTTTTATTCAAATTAATATACATCGCCTCCGTGTGGACGAAATGCCCAAACTGAATTGCTTGATATGGCTTCTGTCGAATTTTGATGATAACTCGTGAGTCAGGTGACGCGCCAACAGCGAAGCAAGCGTTTTGATTTATTGTTAAACAACCAGAAAAAAAAAGCCCCCATCAGATACTCGTGACAGCCTTACATATCGCACCGTGTCCTTTCGATTTAGATCTCACTGCTGTGCATAGATAATTATTTTATGTGGCAACAGGATAGGTTGGTGTACGAGCACCACTGGGAACGAAAAAAACTAAACACTTTTTCATTTGTCTTGCAGGATTTTTTAATTTTCTTGTCGTCATTGGGGTCACGGCAAACAAGGGAACATCGCAAATGACGTTGGGCGCAAGGCGGAGCACACCCTGGACTGGTTGGCAGTTAATTGCAGGGCTGAAATGTGTTTAATTTACGTTAATAGATCTGTTCTCATGTCATGTGTGGGGGGTGGGGGGGAATTCTGCATACCTGTCATCTTTATCATCAGAGTGGCTGTCAAGTGATATTATTTAACACCCGTGTACCATATTGATGCCAGGGAAAACACTTGATGCACCCCTCATAGAGTTCCTGTGCCAAAATGTAAACTATTCATGAATAAGCACTTGATTAACAGAAGTGGTCGGTTGCTGACCGGGGTCCTTCTACGATCGCGTTTGTGTGTGCCATGTTGTACGCATCTCTCTAAGTACTATGATGCTTGATTACGCGATACATTAAAACTGTTGGGATGGGCCGCCTAGTCTGTTTTTACAAGTACACCCGGAGGATGATTTTAATAGCATCCCAAAACACGTGAATTAGGTGAAGCTCGTTTGGATTGCATTGGTTACTATTTTTTTCAGTCAAAAGAATTGATTGTGAAAGCCAATGATGTCACAAGCTTCTAGCCAATCAGCTTGCCCTGATGCGATCTATAAAGGGAGCGTAAATCAGTGGCCTCTGGGGAGAGCAAAAGATAAATGAATGCTGTCTATTTTTTCCCCCGTTATTTTTGTTTTTTGTGGGAGCGTGTTAATTCTCTGTCAGATTTTTTTCAGGGTTCACGCGATTTCTGAAGGTGCTGCGTACATTCGATTTCTCAGGCCACAGAATAGTTAAGTCAATTCATGATGCAGTTCATACAAAAGAAATGCGGGGGGTAACGGGTGTAATTTTCCCGCTCACGTCACATGGCCTGTGTTAGTGCAACCCATCCGGCACGAATCTCCACACAAAGGGGGGGGGGGGGGGTTCGCCTTGCCTGTTGCCGCCACAGTTGCTTAAATAACCAGATCCCCACCGCCACCACCACCACCGTCGCCCTTTCGTCACACGCTAACAATTAAGCACATCAATCCGCCGCCACCGCTGGCGAAACGTGCGTGGAGGCAGACGGAAGCCACGCACACGCACGTTGCACGCCGCACATTCCACCCCGCAGCCACTCGTCAGTGGTGTGCAGCCGCTACCGTACAGAGGCACTCGCGCGGCTGCACCCCCCCCCCACGCCCCGCCCCGCCCCCAGAACACGCACGGGCGGAATGGCTTGAAAGGAGACGAGACGGATTCTTTTGGAGGGGCTCGACGAAGGCCGAATGAGTGACCGTCCGACTGTGGCCGCGAGTCTCCGCGCGTCTTTGCGGCGAATTGCTGCAATGCTGTCTTTCCAGGTGCGTGTATGTGCGCGTGCGGCGTTGTTTCCCTTCCGAATCGGACCGAGCCGGGAAACGAGGGTCTGATGTCACATGTGCTTCATCGGAGGAGACGGGGCATCTGCGAGCTGGATTTTGTGGAGGATGCTGCGGCAAGTGATACACAGAGGGCTCAAGGCTTCCTTCTACTGGCTCGGCTTGTTCGTGAGCAGACACCCCGTTTTCTTCCTCACCGTGCCCGCCGTTCTCACCATCATTTTCGGATCGACGGTGCTGAGCCGCTTCAAGCCGGAGACCGACCTCGAGTTGCTGGTGGCCCCGACGCACAGCCTGGCGAAGATCGAGCGAAGTCTGGCCAACAGCTTGTTTCACATCGACCAGTCCAAGCACAAGCTCTACTCGGATTTACACACTCCGGGCAGGTACGGCAGGCTGATCCTGCTGGCCAAGTCCGGGGGCAACATCCTGGAGCTGGCCGACCAGGTGCTGCAAGTTCACAAGCGGGTGCTGGATTTGCGAGTCCATTACAAAGGATTCAACTACACCTTCGCGCACCTCTGCGTGCTCAGCCACCGAGACAAGCGCTGCTTGCTGGATGATATCATCAGCGTCTTCGAGGACATCCGACAGGCGGTGCTTTCCAACAGCACTTTCCACAAGGTGCCCGTCGGCTACCCCAACACGACGTTAAAGGTGAGTGAGCCTTCGATGCAGGCCCCGTTCTTGGTCCGCGCTGCCCGCTCGGCTCCCGAAGCGGAAGGCGATGGCGCAGGATGCAAATTGACGTGCAGCCTTTGCCGCGATTTCTGAATGGATGCAGCATTCGCGCGACGGCGGGCTGCGCGTTTGCGACGCGCGGCGCGGCCGTGTGCGGCACATGACGGAACATTAGAGCCGACGAGGGCACCCTCTCCATAAGCCAGACATCTGCAATGACTTTTCGACGTTTCACCCTCCCATGTGTTGGTGCAGGTGAATCGATCGGCTCCGTTGGGTGTTCGGCTCTCCGCACACGCGCGGGGATGCCCTCTTTCTTTTTTTTTTAATGCAGTGGTTCCCTCTTGCCATCTCCTGGCAACACATGCGGCATGACACGATTGCAATTGCGAATAGACTCCATCGGAATTCATTTTCCACCTTCTCTCGTGACCTCGAACTGCACTCGTGCAGCCCGGAATACAAGATTTGCAACAATTGCAAATGACCGATCAAAAGCCTTTTTTTCTTTGTCGTGCAGCAGTGGAACACGCGTGCTTCTTGCTGCATGATTCGGGTGCATTTTCTTAAAGGCATCCTCACTTGTATCTACTTATGGTGCCCTTCACGGCACTTTCAATGTGGAAAAATATGAATGAAACGGTGCTACTCTGCAGCGTGCGTTGTCTGAAGTAGACACAGATACATTCGATCTTCCGTATATGGACGGTTAATGAATCAGCAGTTTGGTTAGATCCATGAAATCAAGACCTGGACATGTTGAATTTCATTGAAAAGGAATGAGAAGTGATGGTGTTTGACCCAGTGGCCCTTGTGCATCCCGTCCTGCGGACTTGGGGCCCCCTGGCTCCTTATCTTAAGTCCCGAACTTGGCTCTGAAACTGCACAATGATTTGAAATTGGATCGGCAAATTGGTGCCGTTGTTAAATTTTCCGTTGCTGGTTTCTCTCTTTGGAATGAACTTCCGTTGAATGCTCGGCACGCCCCCTCGCTGCCCATCTTTACAACCCAGTCAAATAAAAGACACTTTAAACACTCTCTTAACTTGAAATGCCAAACCAGTTCAGGAAGGTCATGACCCTTTCACTTCCGACTGAATGAAGAAAGCTCTCGAAGTTAGGGTACCCTGAAAAAAAAAAAGTTTGGATTGATTTTTTTTTTGTTTCATCAAGTGGTTGCATGAAATAGAATCATCTGGATCCAGGTCCATTGTTGAAGTCGACGATGTATGTATTTCGATGTATGTGGATCCGGATGATTTCATTCGGTGCAGCCGCTTGATGAAATAAAATTAAGGACATTCAACAAACCATTTTTTTTCCAGATACCTCATAAAATCTATACCACACAAGAAGTGTCCGTTGCTTTCCACCTCTGTCTGTCAGTGTATCTCACACAGAGTTGAGTGCTTCTTTTGCCCCCACCCGCCCCAGCCCGCCCCAATTCCCCCGAATGAATTATACAGCAGGAGGCGAGATGCAGCAGAGGCCTCATGCAGCAGGTCCGTGACAGTTTAAATAGTCATGACGAGAGGATGCCGCTGGAAGACGGCAGAGCGGATGAGGCAGCAAGCCGTGCTGGCTGATGGCCTTTAGTCGATGTGGGCCAATAAATGTCCGGGGGCCCGCTCCCCGTATGTGTACGAGGCGATAAAAGCAAGTCGAGAGCATCTTTGAAGATCACTTGAACCTTTTTGGAAAACCAAAACATTTCTTTCAAATGAATGAATATGCGCTCAGTGGCAGCAACGGCATGTTGTTCGTGTGTGTGATGAGTTACATTTGACAAAAGCGTCAAGAATGTTGTGAGATTTTGAATGAGTGAGTGAGCAGCTCACCGGATGTGGACGACAAAAATACCGAGGTCATAATATATGTTGTTGCTTTGTTTTTTTTCTGACGGAGATCATCGAGGTGATCAAAATAGACACGGCGCTCCCGATGCACTGTTTTTACGAATGCCTCTCTAATAGTCTGCCTATCTAAGTTGTGCATTACCGTTGTGAGAGGCGCAATATTGGAGACGGCTCTTGTGTGTGATCTCATTATACGGCGCAAGTGGTCATAATGTTGTGGCTGCTTATTCTTCAAATCCACTTGTGCTCAGCGCTGCTGCGGATATTCCCTGCGTTTATTTCCCCCTCTGTCTTCTTGCGCGGCGGGGCCGCTGATGATAAAACCACGCAGTGCAAATAACTCACGCGCAATTTCATAATAGAAAAGAGTTTGTAATATCCATAGACCTGCAAAAAAAGCAGATTTCCAGTAAGCTGGGCCGATAGCAGTTGACTTGAGGGGTAGTTGAAAGGCCCCGTAAAGTGATTTATTTCCAAATACAATGCGTTCGAAGAGAAGGGCGGAATACGTGTGCTAAGACTGAGAGCAATGTCTATTTTTGTGCTCAGTGCAAGTGCGGCATGAGGCGTGGTGTAAATCTGCGCAAGCGAGCGCATCACGGCACATGTTCGAAAGGGCGTTTTGCGCCGTTGTGGGCATGAACAAAGATGACTTCCAATCAAAGTGGCTGGTGTCATGCCTTTGAAATGGCAGAAGAAGACACCGTCCTGAAATTTTGAGGAGCGCTCCGTTTTTCATGACATCGGGACCTGATTTCATCTGCTCGACGATGTTTATAATTATTCAAATTTTGAAAAACATTTTAAAAAGACGTATCGCGGCAGCTCCGATCACAAGCTGCCATCGCAGACCGCTGACCGCGAACAACTTCCGGTGGTGCCGACCGTGCGCCATGCGAAACATAATGTCGTCATGGGCGAACGCTAACGGCCACGTCCTTTCAACCCTTTGCAGGATGGTCGAGTGTCCTTCATCGGTCATCAGCTAGGAGGCGTGTCCTTCTCACCCAACAGCCGCGACCAACAAGTGAAGTTCGCCCGCGCCGTCCAGATCACCTACTACCTCCGCGACAACGGCCCCGTGGTGCAGGACGCCATCTCGGAACGCTGGGAGAATGAATTCTGCGCCCTGGCCAGTCGGCTGTCGACCGCCGAAACTCCCCACGGACCCGACCGGCTGCACATCCACTCCCTCACCTCCTTCAGCTTGTGGCGAGACTTCCATCAGACGGGCGTGCTCGCCAAGGGGGAGGTGTTGGTGAGCCTGGTGCTGGTGCTCCTGGCCGCCACCATCTCCAGCTCCATGCGGGACTGTTTGAGGGGGAAGCCCTTCCTGGGCCTCCTGGGGGTCTTGACCATCTGCATTGCCAACGTGACGGCCGCGGGGATCTTTTTCATATCCGATGGGAAATTCAATTCCACGCTCCTCGGGATTCCCTTCTTCGCTATGGGTGAGTACGGGAGGCTGCGCTTCCTTTGGTGTCGACGTAACGGTTGAGTGAGGCGCTGAGACCTTCGGATCAAATCGGGACTCTTTCGATTATCTTCCAGGGTTTTTTTTTTTTAAACCCTACAAGTATAAAACAGTCCCATTAATATTGAATCCACGTTTGCAGAGGGAATTGCTCGCTGTCACACTGATTCATTCCCTGGAGAATTGTTTATTCCTCGAAATAAATATCGCTTGCCATCAATGGATGAGCGTGACAGCCCCGCTGTAGGCCGACTGTCATTTCTGAAGTTGGAATCTATTGTAGGAGAGTCGTCATCGTGAATTTTTTGTGACCAAGAGGGTGGAGGTTGCAGTAGGGGTGCTGTTTTGAAAAAGGGACCTGAGAAAAAGATGTGCGACGCACGGGAGGTGCAATGAAAAGGACTTTGAGCACGACAAAAGGAGAGAGGAGGCGTTGCAGGAGGAGACGGGCAGCAAGATGGAGAGGACTTGATTAAGTCTATAATTTTATGTGACAGCACCTTAGAGACAGCAGATGTCCACCCTCCCCCCCGGAGGCCCCGACTGACACGTACTCCTCCTCCTATCACTGCATCAATGTCGCACCGGGGTTGCCGTCTGAAATGGATACTGACTTTTTTTTTTTCCACCCAATCTCCTCATGTGGCACCTCATGTTGAGAATTCACGACACGCACATTTCCTTATTTTCTTCGTTATAAGGGGCAGCTATGGAGGCCATCTTGAATCTGGCCCAGTTGACTGAAAACCGTTTCCGCTAATGAGTGAGCCTGCAGCCACAGCACTACGCCGACTGCGACGGAAAAGGCAAATATTGCCGTCTTGTTCTCCTCTTCATCTGACTTCACAAGAAAATCCTGTCAAAAATCATCTAAAAATAGCCCAGTGCAACTGAAGACATCTTTGTACGAAGTTTGATTGGCAATGACCCTTTAAAAATGCAACACTTTGTCACTCCGAGCTGCTATATTTAGCCATCTTCAATTCTTTTGAGACTCCACTTCCTGCAGCATGTCCCATTAAAAATAGATGATCCTCCACCACACCTTTTTATTGACTCCCATGGGTGATTGTACTGCAGCGTTCATCCCGATATAGAATATTCACACACAATCAAATGCATGGGGCATAAATAACACTTACCCCGAATGAAAACGATGGCTTGCGGCACTCTGCAGTAAACACCTGGATTTAGAAACGTCCCTAAGATGGTACCATTTTGAAATCTAAAATGCTTGGGAAGCAGACGATATGATATCTTGATATTTATCTGAAGATTGATTTTGTCCTCCCCTGGCGTTCGCTCTCACTTTCACCTCCCTCGCGTGCTTTTATTGAGTTTCCATCTCGTCCGCAGTCCAACATCCCCCTTTGCAATATCGTCTCCGCTGTCATTCCTGCAGTCACCCCGATCGGAAGACCGCACGGCGGGCGGGCGGGAGGGGCTGACATGCTCTCTCGCCATGTGACGGATGCGCTTTTGCCGGGGCGAGAGCCTCAAAGGTTTCAGCCAAGTGATTTAGTTTAATGACTCGGCGGGCATTTTGGTGCGGGCCAAGCGAGGACGAGAGGGCAAATGCAGTCGAGGCTGCCGTTATTAGAGTGCCGCGATCAGGCTGCGGAATTATCAAACACGGACGCGCAGGCCTCGTCTCGCGATAAAACAGCCCGCTGGGCAGATGTTGACAAACCGCCCAGCGACGATCCCATCGAGCCCCGAACCCGCCAGCGGGACAAGGATTGAGATACGATGCCTCGTGTCGCTGCGTCCTTTCACGCTGAGCTATCGTTTCTTATCTTTCTCTCACTCTGGCTCTGCTGCGGTGGCTGCCAGACAGAAACAAACCGTCCCTTGCACGTGGGAAAAGGGCTTTGCAGATGGTTATGAAGGCCGTTATTCGTCCATTCATCACCGCGCGGAGAAGAACAGAGCAAGCGTCGTACCAAATTGCCGAACAAATGTCGGACTCTATTTGAAACCGTTTCAACGTGAGTCAATAATGCAGCGTTTCAAATGACAAATGCAGCGTATTGTGAAATAGGTTGAACAGGTGTGGCCCTTCGGCATCAAAGTTTGGCTGGCCGTGCCGCAGGTTATGAGCGGGCGTGTGCTGTTTGGACGTCATATCGTTGCTGAACCTCGGCTAACGACACGGTGCCTCGCGCGTATTTGACATCACTTTCCTTCTGAAGCCTTTTTGGTCATCTTGCCGCCATTCTGGCGGTGCATCATTCAGCATTCAGACATTCACAGAATTTCCAGCGAGCTCCAAAGCCGATTAGCATTGAGCAGCCGCTTGCCTCCCAGGCACATATTCCTTCCCTCATTTTGCTTCGGCTTCTTTGAAAAAAAGTCATTTCTCCAGCCGCACTGGCCAGACATTTTTTTTTTTTTTTTTTTGAACCGACCAACGACACGTTTGACTGTTTACCAACAATCTAATTTGAGGACGCTCGAGGGGGGCGCCGACCGGCTCCAAAAGAAAGTGTATCGCGATCATCCGGCCGTGCCAGTCGGGAGAGGTTTGAAAAGTGTTTTCTCTGGCAATTCTGCTCACGCTTGATAACCGACGGGTCTCATGATGTCGCGTTCTCCGTGTGCCCCGTAGGTCACGGAACCAAAGGGGTGTTCGAGCTGCTGGCAGGCTGGAGGAGAACGAGGGAAAACCTGCCCTTTAAGGAGCGCGTGGCCGACGCTTTTGCCGACGTGATGGTGTGCTACACCATGACCAGCTCGCTCTACATCATCACCTTCGGCATGGGGGCGAGCCCGTTCACCAATATCGAGTCGGTGAAGATCTTCTGCCAGAGCATGTGCGTGGCCATCCTGGTCAACTACTTCTACGTTTTCTCCTTCTACGGCTCGTGCTTGGTGTTTGCGGGGCAACTGGAGCAGAACCGCTACCACAGCGTTTTCTGCTGCAAAATCCCCTCGGTGGAGTACTTGGAGCGCCAGCCCACTTGGTTCAAAACCATGATGAGCGACGGCCACGACCTGTCGACGCACCACGACAGCGTCCCTTACCAGAACCACTTCATCCAGCACTTCCTGCGCGAACACTACACGGAGTGGATTACCAACACGTACGTCAAGCCCTTCGTGGTGATCCTCTATCTCATCTACGCGTCGTTCTCGTTCATGGGATGTCTACAAATCAGCGACGGTTCCAACATCGTCAACCTTCTGGCGAGCAACTCGCCGAGCGTTTCCTACGCGCTGACTCAGCAGAAATATTTCAGCAACTACAGTCCCGTCATCGGGTTCTACATTTACGAGCCCATCGAGTATTGGAACGCCACGGTGCAGGAGCATCTGAAGACCCTGGGTCACGGCTTCAACAAGATCTCTTGGATCGACAACTTTTTCGGCTACCTGCGCGCGGTCAACGTGAGCGCGTCCGGCAAGAGCGACTTTGTGCACCTTCTCAAAGGCTCGTTTCTGCGCAGCCCCGAGTACCAGCATTTCACGGAGGACATCATCTTCTCCAAAAACCGCGACACCAAGGAGTACGACATCATCGCCTCGCGCTTGTACCTGGTGGCGCGGACCACGGAAAAGAAGCGCGAGGAGGTGGTGGAGCTCCTGGAGAAGCTCCGCCCCCTCATGCTGATCGAGAGCATCAAATTCATCGCCTTCAATCCCACGTTTGTGTTCATGGACCGCTACAGCTCCTCCGTCATCTCTCCCATCCTGACCTCGGGCTTCAGCGTCCTCACCGTCCTGATCCTGACCTTCTTCCTCGTCATTAACCCCTTGGGGAACTTCTGGCTCATCCTCACGGTCACGTCCGTGGAGCTGGGCGTCTTAGGTTTGATGACGCTCTGGAGCGTCGGGATGGACAGCATCTCGATCCTGTGCCTTATTTACACCCTGAACTTCGCCATGGATCACTGCGCGCCGCACCTCTACACTTTTGTGCTGGCCAGCGAGCACACGCGGACGCAGTGCATCAAGTTGGCGCTTGAGGAGCACGGGGCGGCCATCCTGCAGAACGCGTCTTGCTTTGTGATCGGGATCATCCCTTTAGTGTTTGTGCCTTCCAATCTGACCTACACGCTGTTCAAGTGCTCGCTCCTCACCGCCGGCTGCACCGTGCTTCACTGCTTCGTCATCCTGCCCGTCTTCCTCACCTTCTTCCCGCCCTCGAAGAAGAGACACAAGAAAAAGAAGCGGGCAAAGCGGAAAGAACGGGAGCGCGAACGGGAGAGGGAAAGGGAACGGGAGGAGATCGAGTGCATCGACGTTCGGGAGAATCCCGATCACGTGACGAACGTCTGAGCCGTCGGTCCTCTTCGTCGTGACTATTAGCTGAATTACGCAATTCGACAACGCTGACGGTACGTGACCGCGAAGATGCGTGGCAGACGCTGCTTGCGCCGGGCCACGAGCTGCTCGAAGCGACCCGTAGTCGAGCGCGGTCCCTTTGGGCACCCGCTCACCAGTGTCTTTCATTGGTATAGTGACCACAGCATACTCATCCTTCCATTATTAGGTCCAGTAGATGTGAAAACTAGCTGACCAGAAGTGTACGCAAATTATGAATATGTAGTTGATTGCTCTGTCGAAATATTTGTAGGTCAGACGTTTGCCACAAGAGTGAGGTGCAAAGCAGTCTGCTAAGCCAAGAAAGAGCAAACAGGCTAGCGCGGCGGTCGGCAACCTTTTACACTCGACGAGCCATTTCGACCCGCTTTCCGCGGAAAAGACGACACTGCATAGGTGGTTGAATTTGCAGACTTCACCCGCTTCAATTGATTTTTTCCTCCGAAACAGCTTTTTTGTCCCTCCAGATATTTTTCAGCAAAGTCCGTGTGTTTATTTTGGAAATGTCTTTCTACATTTGACCTTTGGCCAGTTTTTCACCACAAATTAGGCATCGTGGAAACTCGCCCGTGTCCGAGGTAGATGCAAATGAATCTGCCCAGGCATCATTAAATGTTCTATTTTCCTCTGTGTGTGTGTGTGTGTGTGTGTGTGTGTGTGTGTGTGTGTGTGTGTGTGTGTGTGTGTGTGTGTTGGAGAACGATTGCACTGCTCATGATGGATCAACGTTGCACGAGACTGTGTGAAATATGTGACGGCACGGAAAGTTGCATCTGAATTTGACAACTGCGGGTTTCTAGTTCCAAGTGACGGCTCAGAGTATGGAAGAGCTTCTTCTCGCAAGTCGGTGTCGAATGCTCACTTTGACCTGTCATCGGTCAGACTTTGCCCCGCTTAGGAAAGAGCAGTCGAAGCGGTTGAACGGCACCGCGTGTTGTGTATGTATTGCGAGAAGGCATGAAGTGTTTAGGGGGAGGGGGGGGGGAGAAGTGGGAAGGTGACAAAATTGACTGCGTCTGCATGGCACTGCATTGTGCGTTTGCATGTATGGAACTTGTTTGATATTCTTTGCAAAATCTCTCCGGACGTATGTTTGCTCTTTCGATGCATTTTTGCGGAACACGGTAAGATGCGGAAATAAGAAAATGAGTCGAGTCTGATCCTAAACAAAAGCCAGAGGATATTCCATATGTAAAATAAATGTATTATATGATTTTGTATGTTTTCTAAGAAAATATACTATAGAAAGATTTTTGACATGATTTTCGTAAAAAAAAGGGAAAAAAAAAAACGAACAAAAATGGGAAAAAGTGGAACACAGTAGACCAGTAATAAACAGTGGAATGTTACCAGTATACTAGATCTCATTCCTTGCACAGTGCACGCTCAATGTTATGCATTCACGTTGAAATGGGACATGCTGGCCGACATTTTGTTTTTTTTTGTGTCTTGACTCCGTTTGTCTTCTGTCTTGCCTCATTTTCACAGCCTAGGGGATTGCAGGACACTACATGCTAATGAATTGGTTGAGAGGAGCGAAGACATGCACAGGACCCCCAGAAATGCCCAAACGGACACCGTCCAATTGTCTTGCTGCTTTCCCAAATGCAGGGAAGCAGGAAGGCAGGGACGGAGCTACATTGTGGCCGGGGGGGAGGCATACACAATCACAATCACACCAAGGGACGACATCCGGCCCGCCGCATCATTATGTGTGACCCGCAAAAGCAAATCATGTGCAGTGGCTTCATATCTCTTTTTAAATAGAAAAAAAAGTCAAAATTGTCTTCACGTTTAAAATCATTGCGATATTGCAGACATTGTTTTGTTACCCCCTTTTGATATGAATTGAATCATATTTCAACAAACAGTTTTTATGGGCCATTGAGTTCAAAAGTGCTTCTTCATCAATTTGTTGGACTGCACGTGAAATATGAGGCGATCATACATTTCATGTCATAACGGCCCAACAAAAAGAAAAGCCTGATTATGATGTGGCCCGTGACAAAAATGAGTTTGACACCCCCTGATAGAGTGTTCCATTAACCTACCATGCATGTTTTTGGAATGTGGGAGGAAACCGAGTACCCGGAGAAAACCCACTCAGGGGCACGGGGAGAACATGCAAACTCTATGCAGGAAGGCCGGAGCCTTCTCCAAACCCTGGACCTCTGCACTGTGAGACAGACCAGCTAACCAGTCAATCATCATGCCCCGCCTTTCTCTCTCTCTCTCTCTCTCTCTAAATACACACACACAATTATATATAAAAACATTATCCTGACACATGACTGTGAAAAATGCACTTCCAATAAAGTATTGGCACCGATAGTTGTTGTTTTTTTTTTTTATGAGAAATGTATGTTTAGAGTCAGCGTAAGTAACTGATAAGGAAACCTGTCATCAAAATTTTTTTTTTTTAATCAAGTACTGTATATGGTTTTTATCATCTGCCTCCCACGTTGCACTTCTTGCGCAGACAAGAGTGACAGCAGGAGTAGCTGCTGTCACGCTGTTATTGAGCCGAGATGCCTTGGCCTGGGATATTTTTGTCTCCTGATGCTAATCATGTCACGTCTCCGCAATGGATTATTCCTGCTTCCTTTTCTCAAACTCTTCTGCCACCTACTTCCTCTTCCCCTTTCTCACTATTCTTCCTTTTGACCGTGGTTTCCTATTGATGACGTCTGCAACCGAGATGTGATCCCAGCGTGAGTGTATACGCCTAATCAGAGCTCCCCTTTTTTTTGAATTTCAAAATGAGCAGGCTACATAGAATGTCTGCCCTGTTCTCAACGCATCCGAGCAAAATGGCAGTAAAGGCTTCATCACACTCGGATGTGTTTCCTCTCTTCTCGCACTTTCACTGTGAAGGCTTTTCTTCTCTTCTTGAAATTCATTCAAATGAACTTCACGTCGAACCAGAGGGTCTCAATAGAATTCAAATGTCGTTATCCTCATATCTGACGTTACAATGTTCCTTTTGTATTCTTTTATTCGCAAATAAAATTGTATTCATCCATACCCCTTTTAATAGTGCAGAAATGTTTTTATTTTTATTTTACTGACATTTCCACGTCCAAGAAGCATTTCACATCGGGCACACCGTTAGTCGGAAAATGACGGTGAAATAGCCTGCCATTTAGTGCATTTCATTAAGATGAAATGTTCCGGCTCCAATGACCAATAGAGGTCTATTGATCGGCTATGCCCTGATCGATTATCCAGCCAAGCCAGGCATTAGGAAGATTATCATTCGCTGAGAGGCTGTTCAACCTTTATAGTCGGGTCTCCCTTTTGTGCCTTGGCCCCCCCAAGAGATGTGAGGACTAAATGAGTTCTATTTCACAAGACGGTCCTCGCAGTGGTGTGCAAGCTCTAGTTCTGGGAACTATCCGGTGTTTGCTTGAGTTCATCAAGTCAGAGCTCAGCTCTGCATCATTTAGCAAGAAAGGAAACTCTCTTGTACAGCCTTAAGGGGGGGGGGTGTATGACAGGGAAATTATTTTTTCGTATACACAAGTTGCATGGGTCCCCACCCATCTAGCGTCAAATTAAACACCCTAGTAAATATGGTTTTGTATTTCTGAAACTGAATTGTGAGACGTGTCACACTTCCACCCCACTTTTACAAAACAGTCGGGCAGATTCATGTCAGACCAAGCCTCACACTGAGTTTCTTGGCACATATATTAGTTGAATACACGTCTGGTAGAAAATACTCCATTAAATAGTTCAACTGAGAATTCACTTTAACGTGTTGACACTGAGCCCTGACGAGATTTCAAAAAAAAAAATAAAAATTAAAAATCGTCACGTGAGGAGCGGCGGTATGACCCGGAAGCAAACACGACGCGGAAGTTGAAATGTGAAAGTCTTCGCGAAAATACAAAGTAACTCCAGAGAGCCGGGCTGGGTGCTGAAGACAAGGAAAATAGTTGACATTTAAACGCCTAATTTATTGAGCGAGAGAGAGAGAGAGAACAACAATGGATAACACCGAGGCCATATTTCCCAAAGGTAAGCCTGCTCATCACCGAAAAACAACACATCAGACACACTTCGATGATGCCGTTCAGTTTTACACCACTGCAAACACAATTGAAAAGCCGTTAAATTAGTCCCTGTCTAACAACGCCACTCAAAACCAATTCATATTAGCTTCCTGAGGGCAGAATATTGAAATATGATATATTGAACATGATAACTTTTAGGTATATTTTCTATCATTACAATGCAACACAGGCCATCGCGTTGCTGGTGCAGTATATGTTGTTTTATTGTTTGTTGTTGTATATATGATCTTTGCTCCATGTGGAGCATTTTGTACACCGCGGTGGTTGTTTTAAAGTGCTCAAGAAATACAGTTGAGTACTGTAGAACGTTATTTGCTGTTGAATCAAAGATATGCAACGACATCTACTGGATCAGGTGGGGCACTGCATGCGATGATTTCTTGAGAACAGATTGACTGCCGCCAGATTAGATTTGTTATGGAAAATCCCAAGGGTTTTTTTTTCTTTCCTTTTTTCTGAAAAAAAAATCACTCATGAATAGACTTTCACGTGTGAAATGATGGCATTATTTTTTTTTTAGGAATGTGTGCATTTGTGGGTGATTTCTGTTTTTGCTCTGAGATTTGGATTCTCTTGCGCATGGTTTCCCACCTTTGAGAAATAACGGAGACAACTCAAGCAGTTGGTAAATAATTTCTTTCTTCAGTAGAAACATAGAACATTTGGACAACATATTTTGCAATAGAAACTTTGAAAATGCGAAACAAGTTACAGGACATTGATGAGCTTGTTGTCTTGAGAGGGAAGAAATTCCATCTGTGCTGTACACATACAGCACATTTGACAATAAAGTTGGATCCAATCCAATCCAAAAGCTACAGTGACACCAGAAAGTCGGAGGCTGCTTTGTTTATTTCAGCGCGATTATAGCGATCAGTTCGTGCTGGTTCGACGTCACACTAAAATGAAGTTAGAAAAGCAGGTTTTGCATACTTGGTGAAAGATTCAGACGGTATCAGATGAAACTTAAACACAGGTCAAAGCACGACGAAACGAACCACATTTTGACGGCTCGTAAATATTGTGACTGTTTTGTAATTCGTCTTCATCATGACACGATGCCACATCACGGAAACGTGCAACGTCACTTTGCCATAGCTACCACAAAAAAAACCCCATCAGTGATCTATGCTGAAATTGAACATGAATCATGTCGAGTAAATCTATATGTGAGTATATACACAACACCTCCCAAAATATGTTGGGTTTACGTTTGGTTTAAATCACAGCCTAACAGCATGACAACAAAAGGCGCAGGGTCATGTCAGGTGTTCAGGACAGGGTGGGGGGGGGGGGGGGGGGGGGGGGGGGGGGGGTGTCCAAACACTTCAGTTTGGAGAGTGTGTGCTCAGTGCTGACACTATCAGACGGCGCATATATTTGTTGTCCTACTTTACAGTTTTGTTGCAGATCCATCAATCGTTCGCGTCATGTGATTGGTCAATACTTTGCATTGAGCTTCCAGTCACAACTATTCATGCAAAACATCTTCCGTTCAGAGTCAATATTGGTTGAGGGGACAGTAAATTGGTGTCTAGAAAAAATGTTTGCAGACGTTGACAGTATGCCTCCAGTACTGCCAAAGTGAGTCAAGACATTTCATGACACGGCAACACTACTGCAACCTCTCTGGAAAGTGCTTTTTGGTGGAGGAAGGGGAGGAGGTGGCCAGCTGCCGGAAGGATGCCAAATTTCAGTGTAGGTGTGAACCAGCCTGGCGTGATCCCGATTTAGGGATAATGCAAAGAGCTTGGTCTTGTCACTGGAGATAATAGGCAGCATTTAAATGGGCAAAGTGCAAGGCGCAGAAGACGCGGAAGGAGGCAAAGCATCCCAAGCTGGCCACACGTTCCGTCCGTCTCACATTTCAACCTGAACTTCTTTCGGTGCCGGTGTGTCCTTCAGTGAGCCAGAAATTGCGTAGAACCTGCAAGCACAAGAAGCAGGCGTCCATAATAAAGTCAGAAAAGGCATCTTTATTTAAAAAAAAAAAAACACAACAAAATATACCATGCTCAAATCACACCACTTTGTCTTTCATAAAATATTCCAAGAAGAGTGACTGTTATTATTGTTGCAAACAGCTAACCTGGACTATCTCATATCTGATATTCCCACATATCCGTTTCATGTGTTTCTATTGAACAGAGACTTTTTTTTAAGGTTTCCTGACCCTGTCTTCTGTTTTTTTAGACACGTCACAAGGAAGTAGCGACAGCTCAGACGAAGGCTGAAGTGACCGTCGAAACTATTAGCTCGGTAAGAGTTTTTTTTTTTCTTCACAAAAAAAAAAACAAAGAAAGAAAAGAAACCTTCAACCCATTTAAACTAATAAGGAGACAAGGTGAACATGAGAATGATCCAATTTAAAAACCATAGCCTGTTGTAATCTTATCACTCATCATGACCAAAGATATACTCCCTTACCTGGACTTTCGAAAATGCCGGCGTTTCCCAAGGGCCTTGAAACAGGAGGGCGAGCAGGAGTTCTTCAGGTCCACTAACTGGTAGATGATTGGATTGTACATAGCGGAGGACTTGGCGAGGAGAGTGGGAATGACAGACACGGGTATCGGCACCGAGTCTGGCTCCCCAAACGCCGACACCACGGACACAACCGCGTACGGGATCCAAGCGATCAGGAATCCCGCGCAGATCAGCATGGCCACCTCGGTTTGAAACGCATCCAAGTTATTTTGACCTCTCGTAACTCACCTTTGAGGAAAAATCCGCTTCTTTGGCATACCTTTGTCAGTTTGATCTCCAGGTTTTGATTGTTATTGATCCGGGCGTCAAAGTGTGAGATTTCCTTTGCGGAAGACTTGACTTTACAGATGATCCTCACGTAGGAGAAGACCATGATGCCGGTCGGAAGGACGAGACAGAAGAAGAGAATGGACATGACGAAGCTTTGGCCGGACACGGAGGATTGCGCCAACCACCAGTTCAGCGTGCAGGAGGTCCCGAATGGTTCCGGGGCGTAGCTTCCCCAGCCTATCAGGGGCATGGTGGCCCAAAAGGCGGCATACAGCCACACGAAGGCCAAGCAGAGGAAAGCGTGATGCCGTTTCAACCACGTCCCTGCGCGGCAAAGAAATAGGAGGTCCGACGCCAAGTGAGTGCTTACCGCTTGAATCCGCCGTCGGCGAAAGCAAACGAAACCTCGGCTTCCACGTACCGTATCGGAGATGGCAGATCTTGAAGTATCGGTCCAAGCTGACCATCGTCATGGTGGTGAGGCTCCCGCATCCAAAGAAAAAGCCCGCCCAGCCGTAGAACTGACAGCCGTCCCAACCGAACAACCAACGGTGGGAGAAACTAGAAACAATAAAAAAGGGCTTTCCTGTCACTAAAGGACAGGGGTAGTGGAATATCAGGAATGTCAAAGGAAAACGAGAGGGCGACACACAAACGACAAGGAGTCATGAGGATCACCAACGGAAAGATGCGTGGGAGTGTGTTGACAAGGATGATGGTGGCAGGATGAAAAAGAGAAAAAGAAGCAGAAGAAGGGTAAAGAGTAAAAGTATGGAAAACAAGATTAGTTTTGGTTTGGTTTTTAATGAGTCGGATTTACTCATACATTTGGATTGACATTAACAGCAGAGCTGTGTTCTTAACAAAGGTTGTGATGGTAGCAGAATCAATAGCAATTTGTCGAGCTACCCCGACAGCTGCAAAACATAAATTCCATTGAACGATAAGGGGAACCAGCCATTCGTGTATTGACGTAGCGACAATTGGTCAAGATACTGTCTACGCGACGGACATTTGAATTTCAGAAAAATGTGTTCAAAGACGCAAAAGACAAGCGCAACCCTTGATTTGCGGATCAAATCTGTGAAATCAATTATCTGCCCGTAGTTTTTCCCATGAACCACATGGCACTCGACTTGAACCGGAACGCAATATTTGATTTGCGGTGCTCATGAGCACCCCTGGTCATACGGCTCACCCAGGACATACCCAGATAACGATCGTTCATCAAGAAAAAAGAACGGGAACATTCTGATGATTATCACAGTTTGTATCACGGTGAAATGTGAATCATTTCATGGAATCGGATGTGCTGTTGTCGGTCACAAGGCACCAAACAAAGAACGCGTGGATTACATTTTTCCTCGTGGAGTCAGCGTTTTCCCATGAACCACATGGCACTCGACTTGAACCGGAACGCAATATTTGATTTGCGGTGCTCATGAGCACCCCTGGTCATACGGCTCACCCAGGACATACCCAGATAACGATCGTTCATCAAGAAAAAAGAACGGGAACATTCTGATGATTATCACAGTTTGTATCACGCTGAAATGCGAATCATTTCACGGAATCGGATGTGCTGTTGTCAGTCACAAGGCACCAAACAAAGAACGTGTGGATTACATTTTTCCTCGTGGAGTCAGCCCCTCGCAATTAGTGTTCAGTTCTGTGCATGGAGTTCATCAAACACATCGCCAGGCACCAATAAGCCCCGCCCCCAAATTGTTTGGATGATTCTTAAACAGCGTTGTTGCTTTTCTGATGCTCCGACAAAGATGGAAAATACCTGAGATGCCAAAGTCGAAGATGGCTAAATTCAATGTCATCAGTTCCGGTGGCTTCAACTTCGTTTTGCGTTTGATAGTCATGTACAAGACATATCCGTTCCCCGTTGCGGACATAATACCTGGAAGAGAAAGAAACGTGTTCAGCGGATGATGAACGGTGACGTTCCGCTCCCCGTGTTGAATTGAATGGATGATTTCGGGCGTTATTCATGCAGCCATTCAAATTTCATGTCCAATCTGGCCTTTCTGTGTGGTGCTTTCGTGGCGTTTCTCCTTCCCACATTCTGAAAAATTCATCTCAGGTCAACTGTAAGACTGTGAAATGTCACATTGTCAATATGTCACCCATGATTAAGTCAGGTGGGACTGACTCCAGCTCATCCCCTGTCATGCCCCTCAAAAAATCTGGATCACCAAGAAGGTAAAAAAAAAAAAAAAGACTATATCAAAATACAATTCAACACTAAATTACTCTCAGTCTTTCCTCATTTTCAACATATTTATTCTCTTTACATACAAATCACCAAAATGACACGATGGGGTGACTTCATTTTTTTTTTTGAAAAAAATTGAAGAAACGGACCTATAATGCAGATATAAAAAGCTGCCACAATGTCTGCCTCTCTCGAGAGTCTTGAGGCAAAAGGATCGCCACGCAGGAGATAATGGGGCACGTATGACGAGTGTGTCCACGTCTCATTCGTCATCCCTGCCATCAGTGGGGGAATTTCTGGAGAGAGGAGGAAAAGGATGACATTCGAAAAATAAAACAAAAACAAAAAAAACGTGTACACCAGGTTGACATGTGAAGTTGCAGCTCCTCAATCAATTATAATAATTTTCATTTCACTTTAATAACTGCTGGTATCGGCTTTTTTTCCACAATGAAGCAACAGTGAGCATTCAGCCAAAAAAAAAAATGTCTGCAACAGTAGTTTCAGTATTGTGGTGAATATTTACAAGAACATTTCCATTGAGATAATATTCCAGTAATCCTTCAAATGCAAATGACGGTTATCCGGTAATGCATTTGATATAATAACATATCAATTGCAATGACATTTGACTTGAAAGTTATGTATGCATTAACGCTACGTAAAAACCGGGACTTTTCTGCAAACCTTAAATGCAAAAACAGCCTCATTTGAATAAAAATCACCTCCGTAGACACTTATGCCTCGCTTGGAACAAAATGATTGCTTCAAAATTCACATTATTCAATGGGAAATTACAATAGGAGGAAAAGAAATGAAAAATGCGCGTGGACTGAATGGGGAATGAGTCAGTTCAGTGAAAACATTCTCTCAAACAAAGCAAGTCTAATAAAACCATTTAAAAAAATATGTAAAATGTGGATTTTCATGTCACGGACAGTGTAGTGGTTCACTTGCATGACTTTTTTTTCAGGTGGCAGCGTTCAGTTCACACTTGAAGGTACCGGTAAATGGATCACTGAATTTGTTTGAACGTTTTCTGAATCTCCAAAACGACTAGCCTACGCTAAATGCTAACCTACAGATTAATTGTGAATGATAAGTCAATCACAGTCAGTTTTTGTCAAACACAGTGCCGATTCCCTGAGGTTGCTTAGCAACGTTACTGATGGACTCGTACATTGTTGTACTTCTGGAGGCATGGTGTACATGCTCCAAAAACATGTCTGGTAAACGGAAGCAAATTGCGCCGTCTGGGAAGACTGAAATTGTCTGTCACTTTTGAAAGGGAGCCTCCAGACCCAACCCGGGTATTTTATGGCCCGCGGGCCGTAAAATACCCGGATCGGCCTGGCTCTTATTGGCCTGCGATGAGTTGCTTGGAATCAAGAAAATAAAAGCTACGATACTTTCAAATTTTGGGATAATGCGTGCTGGGCCTCGGCCCGGCTATTCTTGGCCTGTGAAAAGATTCTTGGAATCAAGAAAATAAAATCTGCTGAATTTTTTTTTTTGCCCAGTGCGTGGACTCAAAGAGCAGAACTTTTACTGTGAAACCTGTTTGCGGTGTGCGTGCGTCGTTTACGTACAGGTGCCCTGGCCGAATCCGCGTGATTAGTAGCAAGTGAAGGTAATGGCAACCCCTTCCAATTGGTCGCCCATCTCAAGACGGACGCTGAAGGCCGTGGTTTCCAGAAAATACGGACTGTTCAATACTGATTGACTGGAGTCAAACCCGCGTGTTTGGTTTGCGGCGAGCCGTCTCGAAGGACGAAAACGTGAGTCTGCATGACGAGACGCGGCGTGCGGAAAAATACAGACAATTGACTGAGGCTGAGAGAGCGCAGCTCGAAAAACAACAACGCTATTTTCACCAAGCCTGCACGCGGCCCGGGAAGCAGCAACCAGGACAGGCTGTGTGATATCGCGAAGAACGCCAAGCCATTTTCGGCGGGGGAATTCGTTCAAGAATGCTTGGTGGACTCAACAAACAACAAAACAAGTTCAACAAATCCAGGTACAGACCCTCTCCTTCTTACTGATGAGCATCTGTCACGTGTGCTTCACATCTCCACCTCCAACATTCAACCTGCACTTGTCAAAGCTCAACAGAGGCCAGCTTGAACTCACTGAACAAGAAAAGACAACATACTGAAACGGGTTTAGATTTTTTTTTTCTGCATTATTTGGTACTTGGGACAGAAATGTTGCAAGTTATGTTACATTCTTACTGGCATACTAAGACATTGTGGAAACACCGAATGTCATTGACTTATTTCAGCATAGAAATAAAATAGATAACCGGAGTAGATTTTGACCTTTTGGCCCAGCCCTCCACAATATTTGCTGCTTCTCATTTGGCCCATGACGGGAAAAATAATTGCCCACCCCTGTCCGAGACGAAGCTCATTATTTTTGTATACTAAGTTTGCATGTCATTCGCGGATCTAATTAGCGTGCAAAAGTGCTTTGCAGCCCGTGACAGTATGTTGTGTTATTTGTTATTAATTTTGAATTCCAGAAAGGGTGATCAAGAATAAATATACATATTTACATGATCATAACTTTTTGCATCTGGGTAAAATCTTAATTCTAAGTTAAGATAACCTTTATTTGTCCCACACTGGGGACATTTGCAACCAATTGGATTATGAGATTTGAGTGCAAATATGTGAATGTATGTATAAATACACACTTGACGATGAAATAAGGTAAGGGGGCAATTTTGGAGCTGAAAAATCTGAATTGTACATGTTAAAAGACCCAAAAAAATCAGTACTGTTGGCAACACGTTGTGTAGACCCCAGATAGAATATATAAATTGAGGCGTTGGCAAATGAAGATTCGAGTTACCACTGCCATATCCTCACCTTTTGGTGATCGGTCATCAGTCACTCCGGGCGGGAGTTAAATCTTTAAAAGAAAAAAAAAATAAAGCAAAACAAAGGTGGATAGCGAAATCAAAGTGTTTCTCATTGGGGAAAATGCTTGGAAAAAAAGCGACAATAGTCTTGAGCAAAAAAAAAAGAGAAATTGGATAAAAAAAAATTAAAAAAAAAAACAGTCAAATAATCCTGTGATGCGGCCACTGCTCGTCTCCGAAATGTGCTGTCTTCTCAGTCGCGCCCGCAGCTTCAACTCTTCTCGGACTCTCGAGGCGCTTTGTCATAGCAACTGCCAAGTTACTGTGTGGAAACTAAGCTACTTCCGGTTCACGCTTCCAATGTAAAAGCAAGGGGAAAATGTGGAGATGCACGCCACTAACAATTCATTCAACCAAGTCCTGTCGAATGGGACTTCGGGGCGGGGGGGGGGGGGTTAATAGCTCACCCTGGAATTAATAGGCCACCCCCAATGCATGTTGTGATTTACTTTCATTAGTCATTATATATATATATAATTGGTAAGTTCAGTATAATGATCTTTTGTATGAGCAATGAAATTACATACATAGCCTGTTGTTTCCGAACATTTATTAGCCCGAAATAAAGCAGGTGGGATTTTTTTTTTCTTGAATTGTTTGAAACATATTTTATTTGAATAAGTTCGGTGCGGATTTAAGTAAACAATGGCTGACAAAGAAGATATGCACATTTTTTTCACATCCACGGTTTAGTTCCCCTTAATCTTCATTGACAATACAATTCGGTGTGAGCGTAGTTGAGGAAGAGGCGTACGTAAAATGGATTGATTAATGATTATTTACACACGTTCGACAGGCTCAACAGACAGATGGTCAGTGTTCAATTAAAAGAACTCGATTAAAAAAATGGACTGGTGGCTTCACCCACATTTATTAGCAATGCTGACATGTTTCGTTACTCAAAAACAATTTGAGCTCTACCAATTTAATCTTTATCAGTACTGTGCACACATTGTGGATTGTTTCCCCCCCCAGCTCTGTTTTAATGTGAAATCTGCAATTAGCATTCACATGCTGTGCTTGACTTGCTTGATTAATTCCATTACATTTTGTAAACGCAGACCAACTATGATGCCCAGTGATGTTTTTGCAGGCTGAAATGAGGACATTTTTAGGCAAACCGATGACACAGAGTTGTTGTTTTTCATCTTTTTCCTATCAATGAAAAATAATGTCCTTTACAGTTAATACACTCCAGAGTGCACGTTCACACGTTTAACAAGATTTTTTTTTTTTATTAACATATAACCAACTCCGAATCAGCATAATTGCCAATTAAGCCAAGCTCAAGTCTGTTTAAAGGTCAGTTCAATCAGGGAGGAAGTTTTAAAAGCCAGCATGTCAAAAACCAAAGAAGGATGTGCAGCTGAGTGTTCAGTGGAGTCAGAGGACGGCTAGCTTAATGAATCATCTCAAAACCCATAATTCCTGCAGTCACCTGCAGAAGTAGCGCAATGACGTGTTTCTTGTCTGCTTATGGGCATCTTTGGTTGAAGGTTTCTTTTTTGTTTCGGATGGGGTTTTTTTGGTGGGGGACGGGGGGGTTAAGACAGGTCACCAGGAAATAGTGAGATTTCCAATGAAGGCTGAAACGACAGCTGAAACTCTCAGCCTGGTAAGCGTTTTTCTCTTCAGCAAAATATTTTTTCAAATAGACCATTGTCAGCTACCGGATATTTTTGGACATTGTTTAAGCAAAAGACCAAAAACCTTAAGGAAGCTCGCCCAAATCTAATTGACAAAGAGGCCATTTCAATCAGCGGCGCTTGATCCAATGAAAATGAACATTCTAATTCTGAGGAAAGAATGAAAGAGCCTTCAACCGATGGCTCCCGAAGCACTAAGTGTTGGCGGCTGCTCACACTGGCGCAAGTGAAGTGTGATGACTCCAAGGTGTTACATCACTGAACCGTTTCGTGAACACCACGCTTGGCATTTCTTGCCCTCACTTCTCCTCTGACACTTTGTGGATGGAGGTGTTTGACTGTCAAGCTCCCTTTTTCCGCTCCAGCTGCTTTTCGCACCTTAAATGGAAATCTGCAAAGGTTCAGTCAAGGGTCACCCGAGAACCTCTGCGTTTTCTTGAAACGCTGCGCTCACAATTTGACGTAAAGACCAAAATCCAGCCAGATGACCCGAGAGCGTGCGCTTTCATTTCATCAATCCATCCTTGTGATCAAACCAGATGATCAGGCAACACGATTGCTCCTCTGCAAACGCGCTGCCAATTTCCAATTTGGCTTTCTCTTTCCGTGTGACATTTAACTCGGTTTATTTCATTCTCTTTGTGTTTGTTAACACGCGAGAGACAAATTAAAATCCCTCCTCGTCAGTTTACATTCCAAATCTGTTAATTGAAATTAGCGGCAAAGACAACAAACCGCAATGTGCAATCAAGCTTTCCGCGATTAATATTTGAATTAGGCTCATCTTTGGCCGTCACCTTGCTCAGGATCAGACAACCCGACTGAGATGAGCTACGAGGAGGTGCTGCGCGCCAATAAAACGACAGCGTGTTTTATGCGTGCGAATCACGCCAGAGTGTCTTATTCGCCCGAGGAAACTGACTGTTAGTTTCTCAGATGGCCAAAAAATTGTCAGCCGATTGTCCAAACGCTTTTGAGCCCCTGAAAATAAGCACGATACGAGACAAAACGGCTTGACTGTAAAATTTAGACGCTAAGAAACTGGATGAATTTGATGCGGTATGATGAAAGTCAAATCATCACTCACAAAAACAACAAGATATCGATGCGACATGTCAATGTATTCTTTTAGCCGTGAAGTTCAATGAAGACTGACAAATAATTATTGATTGTGATTCATAGTATCTGTTTTCAGGGACCGGCTCTGTCTTGTGCAAATGCCAAGCGTGGCTACTCTCACCATGACAACCTATCAGACCTTTTTAGCGACTATTATTCAAAAAAAAAAAAAAGCAACCACTACTTTTTTTTTTTTGTGGTGTGAATGGAAACTTCTGAAGTCTCTTAAGACCGCCTCTAGAGCAGCAGATGTTCACCCCTCCACATCCGGGACTATAAATGAACAGTGCTTGTTTAAAGCCACCCCCCCCCCGTCCCCCCCTGCGGCTAAACGCATTCAATTGCATTTTGACTCATGTAAGCAGCACGACAGAACCAAGCTGCCCAAATGCCGAAGATTTCAAGATGCGCGGGTGACCAGACACGAAGCTTGGCAACTGTTGTTGCCAACCGGCTGAAAACCAGCAAGTGACTCGATGACCTGGTTGCCATGTCAGTGTTTCTCCGAGAGGATTGACAGAGAGCAGGCGACTTGCCCAGCCCCACCGCGGCCATGTGGTAATTCGTGACTCGACGTCCGCCTCACGTGCACGTGACGCGAAACTTGAGCCCGCTGAGGCGAGAGATGACTTTTCCACTTCATCAGTGAGGAAGCTTTTGATAGAGCGCCTCATCATGATGAAGGGCCCGGTCACAGGATGAAGTCAATCCTGTCGGAGCGCTCGGCATTCTGCCCTCATCAATCAACACAGCATCAATCAACCAGATGGAGAAAGCGGAGCGAAAATCATGGTTGGAACTGCATATGAGTCTTGATTATTAAAAAAAAAAAAAAAAAGTCATGCATGTCAATTTTGAAGGACAAAGAAAACCGGTCGTGCTGTTCAGACCTCGCCTTCATTTCTGGGGAGATGTGATTGTTTTTGTCATTCTCCCGTCTTCAGAAATGGAAAAGCAGAAGATAACTGTCGCGCTCACATCGTCACGTTGGAAGAGCAAGTGACTCATTTATGAGCAAAGCCGTTCACGGAACAGGATAACCGCGTTCGTGACGCAATCTTGAAATGGCCTGGCCCCACCTTAACTCTCTGAGCTCCTCTGCTCCTGCCCGGTGCCTCGGGTCTGCAGGCCAGACGCTTTTAGAGGTGCCGAGAACCAAGCAGGATGCTTGATGCTGTGAATTGATGCTGAGGAGCAGCGGCTTCATTCTTAGCCACTTCCAGATCTTTGTTCTTTTCCACAGCTTGTGAGACATATGGGTGAAAGTAGAGTACACTGCCTTCCAGACCAAGGCTTTCATTCGGAACACCCCCCCCCTCCCCCCCCCACACACACACACGCACTCACCCTCATAGGCGAAAGTACTTGGCACCCAAAATAACTCAAATTGAATCTAAAATTCTAAGTGGCGAGTAACACCGGGAAACAGTTAAAGCGTTTATCTTCCATGACAACATCCATTCTCTCCACCACAGAATCCTGTTCAGGATCGCGAGTGTGGAAGCCAATTGCAGTTGACTTGGGGCGAAAGGCGGATGAGATTTTGAGCTTTAAAAGCCAACCCGCCAACAACTTGAAGCTGCGCAGCCAAGACACACACGATTAAATGAAGGCAAAAGACAATTGGGAATAAATGCAGGCGGTATTTTAAAAATGTATACAAAACATTAATGCGGGTCAGCCCTCAGGCCAGCAGAGAAAGTTTTGAAGGGCCTGAAGAGAGGGGGTGGGGGGATTATTTGATTTTTAGTCCCGATTGGATGCTTCGGCAATTGCACAAAACTGCAGGGTAAAAAACAAAACAAAACAAACTATAAATTGTCATTCCCAGCTGCAGTTTGTCCCCAAATATTTGACCCAAGATTTTATGATGTTGACCATTGGACGGCAGAGCAGATTATTTTCCATTTCCAATTTAAGGGAGCATTCCACTTGACTTTTCCCTTTGTTGCGTTCAAAGACGACCAGATTCCACTCGTATTGACTCTTAAACGTGTTGAGCCGCGCTTGGCAATCGAGATTTGCAGCACATGGACCCTTTTTCAATCCCGCGGCCTTCATTTCCTTTCTCTCCCAACGTAGCGTTGACAATTTCAGCCTTCCAGCCGCACGACAGCAAATAACTTGACGGGAGGAAGGTCATCAAAAATTGAAAGTGAATTTTCTTCTCGCAACGTACTCGTTCCGCTTCTATTATGTTCACGGAATTCCATTTTCTGCGACTGGGTTATGTGCTGTTGTTTTGTACGAGTCTACTTCTTCATCTGCTGGCGAAATACATGTTGTGACAGCTAAGGAAGGGACTGACTGGAAAGAAAATCAATCAATCCCCCCCCAAAATGGGAGGAGGAGTAGAGGGCACTAAACCCGTTGGTTCCCAGCCTATTTCCATGTGTCTCAGATCGTCTGTCGTTTATTGTCCATTTTTACAAGGTCTCCATCTATGGAGTAAGATCACGTACGCAAGATTAATCAGCCGTATCCATAATAGTCATTTGTGCGTTTGAATTATTTCCCTGTGAGTACCAATTGAAATTGTGTGTATGTGTGAAATGTTGTTAATGTTCATCATTAAAAAAAAAAGGCAGCTGCAGTTTTCCTGACATTAGCTTCTGACACTTCAGTGATGGAAGCGAGACCCACTTATGGTGACACCTCCAAAGTGTTGCTTGCAGCTGACTGCCACAACACCTGTGACTTGAAAACTAAAGTGCAGAACTTGAAAAAGTGTGATGCGTTCTTTTTTCTTAATTTTTTTTTAACGTAACTTCTTAGCGGCCTTAAATCCGATCAAATCAAATGTTTCCGGCAATTAACTTCTCCGTTCTCGGAAATTGCACAGCATTGCTTTTTCTGCAGAAGCATTCCATTTGTCATGAACTTCTAAAAGGAGGTTTCCCCGGTCTCAAGTCCATCGGGCCATCCGTTTTGTATGCCGCAGATATACGTTGTGTGCTCTGCATTTAGCTCATTGAGTTCATGAATGCGACAGGCTGTTGTTTATCTGTCCGTCCAGATAAAGTAGCAATATATATGCGGTGTTACCCTCACTTGAGAGGTCAAAAGGGTTTTTGTGGAGACGCTCAATATGGCTCTTGGAGTACTTCGGATTGCCGACCCCGAATATCGAATATCGAACATCTGTCCGGGGGCACGGCGCTTTCGACATCAACAAGTGATGTCACAGAGACGTAGTTGTGCGCATGACGGCCATTTTTTTGGAGGACTGGCCCGATACCTTTTGGTGTCTGAGTGATTCGTGGAATTGGGTTCAAAAATACACACGCACACATGTGTGTGTGTGTGTGTGTGTGTGTGTGTGTGTATATATATATATATATATATATGTGT